AGGTGAACCGTATGCTCGTTTGCCCCCTCTCCTATAAAAAAAGTTGAGTGTGACAAAAGAAGCATGTGAGTAATATTATTGCTGTAGAACTGCGGTCATATGATCAATAAAGGCTTTGTGCAGTAATGAATGAAGGGGATCTCAAGGGGATAAAATACCTAGAATTATTAATTTTTAATAATATTTTAGATATTATTTAAAAAGTTTGAATTTTTTTAAGACAGAATTGCAGCTCTTCATTCTCGGCTAGCGATTCGCATACTGTCGCGTCCAACGCCAGCTCCAGACGCGCCCTGGTGACCTCTAGACAGCGGCCCTTTGCGCGTATTCCTCAATTCCTTCATCCGTGTAATGGGTGTTAGTTGACGGGAGACGCCCGGCACCGTTTCATGGTGAGGCCATGTATGCTTTTTCACCTTCAATTTTGCGCTAACACCTCATGGCAAGATGCTGACTGACTGCGTTGACGTAGTAGTTTTGTTACATAACCGTTACGTCAGCGGGCGATGGGATCGTCACTTCGTCACGTCAGTTTTTCGTAGACACAGTTGCCTCCCTCCACTGGCAACGTTTTGGTGACCTCTTTGGGGAAACCGAGGGTTTTGTCTGTGCGATACACGATCAGGTTATTAAGACCAACAACTATCGGAGATACATCCTAAGGGATGGCACCGTTGACATCTGTCGAGCTAGTCGCCATTCCGGTGAGTCACTTAGACATGTCATCTGGTTGTTTGGCGCTTTCTAACTCTGTAGTAACCAGGATTAACTTTTGGCAGGATTAATAACAGGATTTAACTAGCAGCCAGGATTCTACACCAGGAGCTCGCTCAGAAATACGGCCACGTGGACCGAAAATTGCTTTATTACACGTACTTGCCGGAAGCCGTGCTCGAAAATGACCGCGCCAGGCTCTACTGGGACCGGGCCATCATCACAGATATTGATGATAGACCGGGCACAGTCAAGGATATTTTTGGTCGACATCACCATTCCGTGTGACGAGAACCTCGTGAAAGTTGAAACAGATAAGCGAACAAAATATCTAGGCCTGAGGTGGACTGCCGACCGAAATTATACCTGTAGTCGTTTCTGCGAACGGACTAATCCCAGTCAGTGTCAGCTCTTATATAAAAAAAAGTTGATGCATTCTGGATAATACTAAACTATACGCAGCAGTGGAACAGGTAAGTCAAAGAATATTAGGAATTATAATCACTGAAAAACATGTTTTAATTTACAGATATGTGTAATATAAATAATTATAGTTCAAATGGTGAGAATTTTAACACGTTTCTTAGCTATATCAAGTCTCTTATTCATTGAAAAAGTAGTATAAAATCAATTGCATAATTTACACTCAATATTCAGATAAGAAAGCGTGTTACTAAAAATCTGATAATAATAAAATAGATGGAACAATCACACTTAATAATTCAATAGAATTAAAATTAATATATAATTTTTTAATCAAGCCGCAATATCATTAAGCTACCAGCTAGAGATTTCTTGCAAACATGTCTAAATTACAACTAGTATAATTTTTGCCCCGTTTTATTTTCTAGTGAAGTCTAAAAAAGTTCAAATTAGCTTTTGATGGCCGTCCAGTTAATGATTGCGATGCTAGCTTCGTTTACGTGTGTGTGCACCGATGTGTAAGTGCGATTAGTGATTAAAGGTTTTATATATTTAAGTGCACACGCATTGACGCAGCGCTGACGATACTTCCTTGTCTTAAAACCTTCTCTGAAATGAGAGGAGGCCTGATCCCAGCTGTGGGATGTATATATGCTGTTACTTTTCTTTACTTTATATCATGAATATTTGTTTTATTTAGTACTGTAAATAAAACTGTATTCTTCAAACTTTTCTTTGTAGGAATTGTATTTTATATTAGTTAACAAATTAGTTAGGTCATTGAAATGAGAGTAAGCCTGATTCCAATAGGACGTATCGCATTTATTTTGTCACTATGTTTTATGAAAAAAAAATTACAGTTTTATTTACGGGCCTTTTTCACATTGGATTATTTAATTGTAAAAGAATAAACATTATTAATACAAACGTTATTACAATAATATTTCCCTATTTATTTTGACAAATCTTGCTATTGGAATTTAATCCTTTTTGATTTATTAGTTAATATAAATGTCCTCTAATCTAGTTATAACAATCAGGGCCTATCCCTTCTTTTCCATTAGTTTTTGTACCTGGAACCCATTATAGCCTATCGTATATAAAAGTCCCATGTTTGGTCTGGGCGCGTGTTACTTGCCTAAAATGTCGTTAACAGCGATATTAAGTATTGCGTTTGTGATTGTGTAGTAGGCTATGGGCCATTTAAGCCTATATTTTTTGGCATAACGTGGTCCGAACTATGTATGTATGTATAGTTACCTACCTAAAGCTCTTTTAAATATTGTAATTGTTTATTTTTAAAAAATCACATTACATAAACCTAATTTTTACGGATTTTATCGCGTTTAATTAATTTTTAAGCTCATTCTGCGTAGATCGGACCAAAAAATGTTAAATTAAACGCGATAAAATCCGTAAAAGTTAGTTTCATTTAATGTGTAGTCTTCGCGTAAAAATTTTCACATTACAAGTTTATGTACCAGACTTTTATTGAAGCAGCTAATTTGGCAGTTAGTTTATTTTCTTCCAATTTTATAGTTTATCGTAAACGCTAACGTCATAAATTATCAATTATAGTATTGTTATATACGGCATGTATCACTTATAATAGTTTATCAAAAACATCCAATCATGGTAAGGTAACTTTCTTAATTATACCTATAAAGTAAGAGGTCATACCAAAAGCATAATGCGTTCCATGGACAGACAGAGAACTATTATTTTAGGAGAGGGTTAAACAAAAACGAAGGTTGCTTGATAATATTTTCTTTCGATCATGGGGGAAATGATATTTAGAATTGCAGGTGGGGATGTAAGACGAAAATTACATACTTTAAAATTTAGGACAATTATCTGCCTCCTGAGCTACCGAAAAGCAAAGAGAAATTAATTTAAAATTTATCGTATGATTTATCTTTCTTAGCACACACTTATTGAAAGTTTTTAGTTCTTAACTAGTTTAGTTCAGGCATTTAAAACCATTCATTGATTACATTTACCACGTGCTCGGCGGTGAAGGAAAACATCGTGAGGAAACCTGCATGTCTGAGAAATAAGAAAAAAAAATATTTCGAAGACATGTGAAGTTCGCCAACACGCATTGGGGCAACGCGGCGGACATTTCCTTGCCCTAAAACCCTCTCAGGAATGAGAGGAGGTCTGTGCCCAGCAGTGGGACGCAAATAGGCTGCAACTTTACTTTTTTAACTTTTATTGATTACAGCTTATAATAAGGATACTGCTGAACATAGGGTCCTCCATAGGTTGCCTTATATAGGAAGTATCTGTCATAGTTACTACGATTAGCAGGCGGACTCCCAAACGCAGTTTTCAATTGTTTTGAACTGTAATCAGAAAAATGCTGCTGTCTATCTCATGTTTCAGTTTACCTCTGCAGCCTCTTACGACACCCACGGTATAATATGGAGTAATGAATTCTCTTACACTCGCAATACACTCCACGCCTTATCTCATCATCATCTTCACCATTACAGCCCTAAGTTCACTGAACATAGGCCTCTGATAGGTCCTGTACTACCTGCATCCATCGACTTCCTGAATGTCCAAACAGATCGTCACTCCATCTAGTGATAGGACGCCTCACACTTCGCCTACCGGTACGAGGCTGCCACTCGAGAACCTTTCGGTTGTCGTTCGGTGTCTTCGATCTATATGCCCGGCCCAATCCGTTGGGCTATGGCGGTTACTCTGGTTCTATTGCGGATATCCTCACTTCTAAGTTTGTCACGCCTTATCATATAAAAGCAAACTATTATTTTAAAGGTAATTTGAAATAAAACAATAATAATTTATCAAAGATATATTTTGAGAACGATAAAGTAATATCCAATAAAATTTCGCATGCAAAGAATAAAAACACTTTCATGCAAAATCATTTCTAGACATTTCTAGAAATAAATAAATTAATATAGCAATAATTTGACAAATTTCTTTTACTAATAATCCGACAAGTTTCCTTTTCTGATCCAACATATTTTGTATTAACAGAATTTTGTGAAAAGATTAACGCGGAACGGACATGAAACATTAACAATAGTTTACGACCAAATCTATTACATTTAAAAATATTTTAAGATTTTTTACTATTTAGGCATTATCACAGAAAATATTTCTCTGTCTACACAATTACTTGAGAAATATAATTTTCTATCTAAGGTTTTTTTTCTTTATCTTTATTATTATTAACGCACCAGCATTTTTAACAGTTTCGAAATTTGGAAATTGAGAAGAAAAAATGTTATAAAATATTTCTTGTAAAACATTTTTTCTTCTTATAATTCAAAATGTTTTCGATGTGTATTTAAAACAATTTTATATGAAAAAATGAAATACATATTATTAAGTATATTAAAATTATTATATTCTTTGAGCAATTATTTTACAATACACTTAGATATGGTATGCTTAAACAAATCTCTATTTATTTTACAGAACTGTTTTATGCAAATTCTAAATAAACCTTTCTTCATTTTACCTGAATCATATAAATCACCAAGTCCCTATTTAAGCTAAATATAAAAGCACTAGTGGTACACAATATTTTTTGTATTCATTACCTTAGAATACAACGACAAATTTCAAATAAATCAGTACATAATCACAAGTAAAGTCAAAATTACGAATTATTTTGAATTCACAGTTTAAGGAAACAGATCGTAAGAGAGACTCTATATATAAAATTCCTGTACATTGTAGAACTAGCCTAAATTTCTCCTATTTACAAATTCAGTCCAAGTACAATAACTCTATTTAGGAACATATATTACATTTTCACCTATTTCCACAGAGGTGTCTCTGAAATCGTCCACTATCTACACAAGACGTGCGATGTCAAGCTTTCGCTATACATGCGTTCCTTGGGGGGGCTGATTTCCATTTCCTGCGAACAAATGATGTGTTGTTAAGATTTTTTATTATAGATCAGCCTCAATATGGTTGCATAAGTGTAATATGTAACAAATTTAAAGTGTTTTAATTTAAATAATAATATAAAATCGTTCTGCAAAATATCACGTAACAAAGTCTTGCCCTACTTTAAGGTATGAAAACTCATAGTTTATATTGAAATTCGTTAAAAATATATTTCTTAACTCAGCCGTTAAAATTTGGTTACTGAAGCGTGGTAAGAAATTCAAGAGGCTGATACCTAAGGGTGATTAGTACGACGGGGTTGCAACATATTCAATGAATATAAATAGTTACATATTATACAGCATGTAACAAAAACCCTGTGGTTCCCGTTAAGGTCGTTATCAGAATCAGTATTCAAACTTATAGAAATAACTTTTTTTCAGAAAACATGATCATTAAAAATTTTAATTATACAAAAAAAAAATATTTGCAAATTATGTGCGGTTTTATTACCTCTAACTGACACGAGTATCTGTAAAGCAGGGTTTTTGACAAACCTCGGGAGTGCCCCGGATAATGCAGAGGTAATAAAATGACATATAATTTGTATTTTTTTAAATTATTTTTTTAATTAGAATTAAATTTTTTAATGGCCGAGTTTCCTGAAAAAAAATATTTCTACACGTTTGAATACTGATTCTGATAATACTCTTAACGGGAACCACAGGGTTTTTATTACATGTTGTATATATGTAACTACAGTGGAGATATCATTGCAGTTTTTTTTATTTCTCTTATTGTATGTAACATGATTATTTTTTCTTTTCCTATTTGTTTTGTTTATTTTCATTGTGTTTATCAGGTTGCTATGTCTTTAGCTCACGAGTGGATTGCAAGTGTATCCATCGATTACATATGTTATTAGGTTATTACTTCATCAAATATTAATGAATTTAAATTTTAAATCGACTTATGGCTTAGACACCCAAACACATTAATAACCGCCCGTGTCAAAGTTCATTTCGTAGGCGTGGCCAATTTCCGAGACAGACCCTCGTATATACTCTAAAATTAACGTAGTCAAACCACAGTTTACTTCGAACGGCACCATTACAGATATTAATTAGCATAGTAGATTTCCAATATCCTTTATCACACCCATCAATCATGTCATAAATATTACAAATACACAATACGTACAGGTTCTACTAAAAATACAATAGCCATTATTAATTCAGCTATATTCTTTGTAAGTAATTACCCGCGACCCTAAAAAGCTTTGTCGAAGTTCAATCAATAATGTTTCGTATAACTGGTTCATAACTATTACATGCGCACACTTTTATATTTGCACATTAGTTTGCAGGCCTGAAATTTGTTAAGTCTGTCACAACTCCCACGGCAGTCGTAAAATGGGACAGAGAGTAATTTTTGTCATTTGTGTTATATGCACGGTGGGCTTCAAGTTACTGTTTGTGGATATAATTTTGTAGTTTTTTAGCCCCTTGATATTTTACTACTTTTTACGAACATAGCTTCTAGAAGTTTCTTTATTAATTTAGTTAATCAGGTTAAATGTACGTATAGTAAATATAAATATAAATCTGACGTCAATTCAAAAAATATTTTATTTATTTCATTTAATCTAAATCTATTTATTTAAAAAAAAATCAAACATTAAAGTTTCTTGCCGCTTCTTCTCACAAGGTTTCCTATAGTAGCGACATATTTAAGCGATGACGTGGCTTTCTTGACTTTCAGAAAGTACTTTATAAAGGTTACTTTGGAATTAAAATAATTTAGTACGTGGTGGAGCCATGCTGCAGCTATATTAAAAGTATAGTTGTAGAACAAATGGGTCGGCTCAACCGGGGAAGGACCACGCTCTCACAGAGTACTAGCGTAAAATATCAGCTAACGCTGTTTCGTATGGTGAGTGTAGAGAACCGGAGACCTATTTTACTGGAAAAGAGGCATTCCATCTTAATCCTCACGGGTGACGACGAATCTGCATTTTGATTCTTTATTAAGGATAAATGTTGATATCTATGGGTCACAGCAACCTCTTATCATCAGGTGGAGTGTGTGCTCGTTTGTCACCATATCCCATTAAAAAAAACCTACCGGTTCCAATTGTGAATCTAAAGCATTCTTGAAGAAACTTAATGACACACACAGAATGTCATCTAATCCAACAATTAAGGAGGAGTTCAGTCACATACACATGGTTAGAAGAATACTAATACTACTGAAAATCCCGATAACCAACAACAACTTAACTTAAAATGTTAGTGCTGGGTGTTTTTACGACAGTAGTCAAGCGTGCGATAGGCTTGGACTGTTAGGTTCGATCCAAAAACAAAATTGACAATTTGCTCCTTGCGCTACGCTTTTCAAATATAGATACAAAACAAATCTACAATAGATATTATGTACCTACTAAGGCATATTAGAGCACAAGATAAGAGTGGAACTGTCGCAATATTTTTGTTAGAAGTAAAGATATGAAACGCAATCAATAACTTCAAGTTAAGGTGTGACACACACACACACACACACACACACACACACACACACACACACACACATACACACACACACACACACATACATATGTATGTGTGTGTGTGTGTTATGGAATTATAAACCAAAGTCACATAAATGAAATGAGGGCATCCACAACTTTTTCTGCCACCAGGGCGGCGCCACTTTACAGTGAGGTAAAATATTTGACAGATTTCATAGCGGGGACGATAATTTCTTAGGAAAATGTAATATTTAAGGTTTCTTTCCGTATTGTTAGTTATATTTTTTATTAATTACATTAGAAATAAATAAACTAAACTATAAATATAACTTAAAGTAGATAAATTAAAAAAAGAGTTATAAAGTGCAAAAAATTAAAAATCAAACCACTGACGCATTTTGTTGTATATTAATATAATACTCTAGATAATGATAAACTATTATTTAAAACTAATTTCTTAATTAACTGACACTATGTAACGAAAAACTTTACCTCAGTCACAACAAGCGACATCTGGTGAGTGGAAGATTATTAGCCCTCATTTAAAGAAGAATGTCCAATTTTTTTTTAACCGAACACAGAATGGTAATTTGAATAAAAAATGTTGAAATAACGTCGTAATGGTCCATCAAACAAAATTTCAAAGAAGTGAATCGATTCTGTTGTTTAGATTCGTAATTTTATAGACTGAATAATATGCCGTGTCAATAGGAATTTACTTTTGCAATTGGAGTTTTGTATAATCTATACAATTAAATAAAATTGAAGTGTCTGTTTGTAATTTTAAAACAACAGCTTTTTAATAAATGCATATGAAAGTATATACGGCAATAATAACAAAAAAAAAAACAATTTTTAACATTTTTGTCTGTCTGTCTGTTTCTTCCGGCTAATCTCCGAAACGGTTGGACTGAGTTTTTTTTCTGGCAGATAGCTGATGTTATGAGGAGTAACTTAGAATACTTTTATTTTAGAAAAAGAATTAGAACAGAAAAACAATCAAAAACGTTTAAATCATAGTATATTCCACGCGTAGTAGAATATAGTATGATTTCGTATCTAGACGCAAGTAGTAAGTCTCTCATTCTACTCTTGTTTCACGTTCAAGAATGTATGTTTTCTCTTTATGAACGTTGTTCAATAATAAATATACTTAAATATGCTATATATATACTATATACTATATTTACCTATATATGTGCTGGTATGCAGTTATGTACCTGATGGTAAGACGACAGAGCTTCTTACTGCTGAATAAGGAGGCGGGGCCGGCGTCGCTGCTGGCTTTGCTGTATGCACTTGATTGCCATAGCCTGATAGAAATAAGACTATAAATTAAAAATGCTCATCGGCGTTTTCTCAAATTTTAATCGTCTATTTCGCCAACTTAAACAAATACAATGTACGAATGGGTTAATTAATTAATTAATTCAGTCCGTCCACAATATCGACATTTCATTAGGTGACCAACACGACTAACGGTAGGTACGATTACGACGATGACGATTATTTTATTTTTGTTAGACTTGATTTGGAGACTATACTTCTCTAAATCTTTTCAAAATAATCTAATATGCGGGACGAAAAATTTTACTTCCGTACGTGACAGTAGAATCGGAATATTACGACCTCAACAACATCGAAGTGTACAAATGATCCTAAGCTTATTATTTCTTTGACAAACCATGCAACAAACTACGAGTAGCATGTGAAAAGAGTTTATTAAAAACATTATTGCCTTGAGGCATTCTCTACCAGTCAACCCATGCAGTGGTGAGAATTTGACGTAGGTGTGGCAATCTATACATATAATAAAAATGTAAATAGCAGATGTCTGTACATTTTATATTTTTGTAATAGAAGTGATTGATAGGTACTAAAAATAAGTAAATAAATACATTTCTACCATTTTTAGATTTTTCTGTCTGTCTGTCTGTCTGTCTGTTTGTTTGTTAACGTATCACGTATAAAGTACTAATTTATATCATAAGAATAGTTAAGGAAATTATTAAGTGTATATTCAGGTTACATTTAGTCCTTATTTCATTAAAATTGGTTAATTCCATCAAAAGTTATGACAAATATTCTGAAGTATAGGTACGAATTTGTTCAATAGTGGCGTTGGATGAGTCATCAAGTACATTTTAAAATTAATATCATATTATAATTCATAATTAAATGATATAAAATAATGTTCTATAATGATATAATTATATCTAAAACGCAGTAAACAAAAGTATTACATAAAGAACGTAATAAATATATACAAAATATATTTAACCTTATTATCTAAACTAAATTAAAGTACAATAGTTAACCAATTTCATCGATAGATGGTGTGGCAAAAATGTGATACAAAAGGCAGGTTAAAATTTTTGAAATCAAGTTCATTTAATCTTTGTTTTATTGAAATTGGTTAATTCTATCGAAAGTTATGATTATTATTTTGAAATGTAGGTTCGAATTTGTTTAATGGCGCCACAAAATCTCAGAAATAGTAATAAAGATTCATGTGTAAAAAAAAACGTTCTATTATAATATATTTCGTATCGTTCTAATATAGTACTTAAAACACAGTAAAAAATATGTATTCCTTAAATTAAAAAAGAATGTTTTCTCACAAAGAACGTAATAGATGGCGTTGTACAAATTACAACCTTTTCTGAATTGCGGTGTTAAGATTTTTCACAGGTGAATCGTATTGAGACTCACTGAAAGTCTGACGAAGGGTGTAGGTTAGACAACACATCACAAAAATCATCAGAAACAAAAACCAGAAAAAAGAGATATTGAAATATTCAACTCGACTAAAAGTAGCTAAATGGCAATAAATGTCGTGATAGTGATATTGTTTTATACCCAGAATCCCTCTAATACCAAATAACTTTCCTTTCAGTTTTAAGTAAAGTAGTAGTTTTAAGTAGTAGCTAAATTGCAATAAATGTCGTGATAGTGATATTGTTTTATACCCAGAATCCCTCTAATACCACATAACTTTCCTTTCAGTTTTAAGTAAAGTAAAGTAAAGTTGCAGCCTATTTACGTCCCACAGCTGGGCACAGGCCTCCTCTCATTTCTGAGAGGGTTTTAGGGCAAGGAAATGTCCACCGCGCTGCCCCAATACGTGTTGCCGAACTTCACATGTCATCGAAATATTTTTTTTTATTTCTCAGACATGCAGGTTTCCTTACGATGTTTTCCTTCACCGCCGAGCACGTGGTAAATGAGTACTTAAAATTGCAATTAACAATTTAATTGGTGCCGGCGGGGATCGAACCCGAGTTGCTCGAGTACTGTAAAGCTTACAGCGAGCGCTAACCATCTGAGCTACCACGGCTCAGGCTACAGTTTCAAGATAGGGATAATAACATCGATGATGACATCGATGTTCGATGTTTAGGCTACTCAAAACATCGATGTTGACCATTATCGATGGTTTTTGTATATGTGTAGATACTTCACATTGTTTCAAAATTATGTGGGTATACACAGCAAGGGAAAAGTAACAATTAACTTGAATATCAATTTACGTAGAATAGTTATTATGCGACAACCGACAACGACACTACAAAATAAAGCGAAAGCAGTGACCATTGTGACATTACAGGAGACACTTGACAATTAAGTTTGACTCACCATACTGACATTTTTTTAGGTTAACGATGCGTTCAGAAATTCTGAATTATACAAAATTTTTAATCTTCAGAGCAGATGCAATATTTAGTTATATTGGTTTCGCGAGTTCTCATTGTTTGCAAGTTCCCAATTATCGATTATGGGTTCATTGACGTCGATGTTTCGATGTTTGACATATTATGTCAACATCGATGTTAAAACATCGAAGTTTTAATTTTTAACATCAATGATCACCTAACATCCCTATTTGAAGTGTGTTTCCCACTCAGCGTGTGTTATACGACGATCGTAAATATAGCGCAAGGTCAAACTTTACGCGTTGCAGGAGTGGACCTCAGTACTGATTGTTTTGCACATGGGCAACTCTATGTTTGTTTTTCCCGCGTTAGTAGTCCCCGTAATCTTTTTCTGTACGCCCCGGCTAAGTCTACTTCTATCGTCGTTTACACAGAAGCTCTATCATAAACGCCTTAGAACTTTGAGCATATCGATTTATTTTGTTACCACTTATTCATACAGTAATGATATAAATCGTTTAATATTCTCTTACCCTAAACGTCAAATTCTTTAAGTAAAACCTATATTCGCGAGCTACGCCGCGGGCACAGCTAGTATAGAATAAAAATAAAATAAAAATGATAATTAACTACGTAATCTACACATTTTACTAATATATAGAATGAATAAACTATAGAAATATCTCCTTGTAGTAGTAGTTCTAGCAATCGAAAATATTCTATCTACATTTATAGAACTATAACCCACAAACTGAATTTAAAATTGTTTACTAACCATTAATAGTAATCAATACTGCAAATAATATATCAGATAAATAAAAGTAAACTTTATAAAATTAATAAATTCTGTAATACGCGCAAACGATAAGAATAGGGCTGTCAATCAAACTGACATTTCCCGTCGTATTGCGCACTAGCTTCAATTGCTTTGTCTAGGATGAGTAAAAATTCAAACTAAAAATAATTTTAATAATTCTTTATTTATATTTCAATTGATGGCTACGTATCATGAAAACTTAAAGTTAAGGGAGAGAAGTTGTCACTAAGTCCCATCCTATTCTTACCCTGTGCACACAGTATAGTAGACACAGTAGAGCTGCGCTCCGGATAGTTAGCTACAACATAAATGGGTCAACTTGACTGTGGAAGGAATACACTTTCACCGAGTACCAGCATAAAATAGCAGCATAATGCTGCTGTGTTACAAGTGATGAGAATCGAAGACCCATTTTACTGGTAAGTAATAACTAGGTAATAATTTTTGTAGATGTTCATGGTTTACAGCGTCCACTTACCATTAAGTGAACTGTGTGTTCGTTTCTCGTCCTTACTTAACCCCACACTTATGAACGCCTACCTAGCATTTTGAGCACTGGGATATATTTTACAGTTGCCTTAAAATTGCTGCACAGGGACTCCTTTTCTAGCTGGGTGTAGATGTTCATCTGGGCAAGTACTCTTTATCTATTAAGTTCTTCTGCCACCAAGCAGCAGTGTTTGCACTAAGTCTAAGGGGTATAAATAGAACACATGTTTTACTGGCCTTGAGGCATTCCATCTTAGTTCTCAGGAGTGACAACGTATCCATGTTGTCTTTAGTTTAATAAGTGCTTCAATAGCCACATACCATTAGATGGATTATAAGTTCGATTTTTATTTCAAATATTTAAAATACAGATTAAGGAGCACCATTAGTCAATTAAGAAAGGTGGGGGGAAAAATCAGATAAAAAATTACAATCGAATAAATTTAAATCACATGCTTACCGACAGAACTATTCCTTAGGTACGGATTCCCGTAAGTGGCGGCGTATCTAAGGTCAATCCCTGTATGGCCTTTTGTGTGTGGCTGGGCGTATATCGGTGTGGGCGAGTCTGTGGGAATAGTACACAAATTAAAACTAACTTTCGGCCCACTGCTCTAGCGTATGTTAATAGCCTGATAAATGTTTATTGCGTTTTTAACTTTTCTTTTAGTGGCATCGATTAATCTTTGATCGAGGTGAACCTTTTCCTTTCATTATTTTGAAAGCTTTTATGTTATTATTTAGTAAAAATATCAAAGCTGTAGTTGTGGTAGTTGGAATAATTAATTCAAACACTAAGCCTGAAAAGATGAAATAGGATGTTGACGGGATGAAGGGTAATCTCTCGTCTGTTTCTGAGACATAAAGAGACATTATATAGATGATGTTAGTTATCATTTAAAAATCTTCATGTTACGTCTCCTATTCCTTTAGGAAATGCGAGAAAATTCCATAGTCTATTGGCAGATTGTGGTATCACTATTTAGTGTTAGCCAAATGTAAAATGTCTAGACTGTCGACGGGGATCATTACGTTAGGCGATTCGCCTGTTATAACTGGATGTGTGTGTCCATGTTAAATTTAAGAACGTAGAATATATTTAGCTTACACGAAATAGCAAAAGTTCCTGATAAGGTTCTAGCAATGTTAAAAACAAAAAGAAATAGAGAAAAAAAAATTTTTCTACGTACTTTCTCCCCCAACAGGCAGACCAAGATTATTTATTGCGTCAGTTTCGTCGGATGATTTGTTCGTTCGTTGCAATGAGTTACTCTGCGATCCATTGCCCGCTGACAATGGGAGAGTTGATGCTGTGTCGATACTGCGAGTTAGTGAACCTTGCAACGATCTGCATATTCAAAATAATAGAAATTTTATTCAAACAGTACAATAAGTTATGACTGTAAATACTCTCATCGTTTAACTTTACGATAATGATTTAGAACGATATTAATTTTAATTAAATTAAAATTAATTAATTAATATTAATATTTAAAATTCTGTCTTGTTGCATTTTCCTAAAGAATTCATTTTAATCAAAATATCCTTAAATATAAATACCATATCTATTCGGTTATAATACTAAATTACTATTGCGAGATAGGAAAAACAAATTTTTGGATGTGAAATGAAATTTTTGTGAAATTAAAAACGCAAAATAAGTATAAATAGTAAAATATATACAACTCACCTGTTCTGTGGGACTTCCAATTGTGTTGGAGATTGAACTCTCAAATGTGGAGGGGGCACATATCCCTGAGGATAGTCATACACGTAGCCTGCAGGGTTCTAAAAATATCAAATTATTTAACAATTTACCATTATTTGCGATAAGAATTTTTTTCTTGTATAAAAGATTTCAATATTCCCAATCCAATTATTTGTCTGAAACAATTTTATTGCACAGCATTGTTTCGGCCTATGTATTTCAAAACCTTGCCTGGAGCATAATGTTCCAGTCATTAGAAATGACAAAACATCTTTAGCCTTCTATGTTTAAAGTAAACCGTCTACAGGTGGCAATGGTTAGGTTTATTTTAACAGGCTTATTTACCACTTTAACTCTAATATAATTATGATTGAAAGCTCATAGTGTCACACATGCCTATTACTAGTGGTGGACTAATTAACATCCGTGACTTTGGAAATCTTTATTATGACATTAATAATTATTTTTTAACTGTATAATTATCTCATAACATTGATTTTTGTATAATTGTTTTATAACTGTCCACATATAAAAAAGGTACACAAACTGTATATGAAAACAAAAAAAAAATACCTTACGAAATGCTACTTGCTATTCTTTGAGACGTGTCATGTCATTTACTATGTAAAAAATTTTTGCAATATGTAACATTCTGTTAAAATATTATTATTGATCTTAGAAAAGTTAAATTAGAAATGTACCTTGAAATAAGGGTCAGCGTAAGTTGGATCGGAGTAGTCATTGCTATAACTAAATTGCATCAGGGGGTCATCGTGTCGAATATTTGGTAAAGTTACAGGGCCTGCTAGTGGCAAACCTGCGGGGTTCTTCGTATCGGATCGATCTGAACTTGTGTAGTCCTGTGAAAAAAAAAGTGTGTGTGTACTTATACTTCTTTAGCGTAACAAAACAAAAATAACTGCAAAATTAAATATGATCCTGGTGATAATTTATAGACGGCTCCGTGGTGCAGTTGCTTAGCAAAGAGTTGCAGCGCTAAAAGCTGCGAGTTCAAATCCCGCACAGAAGAAGTATTTATATGGAATTTTTGTCCTTGTGATATCTATGTAAACTGTAAGCCCCCAAGATACAGTAGAAAATCCTAGTGTGGAGGTAATTTTTTTAAATTGTAATTTCTTTTTATTAAGATTTTTAAAACATATATTTACTCTTAATATTGTTTCGCAAAATAAACATACATCAATCACGTCTTTTGATGGATAAATTTAACCTCTTTTATATTTATAAAGATATAAAAATATTTGGTAAATCCAAATGTGCATGTCGTATGCGCTCATGTTATACATACATATTTTAAAGTAGTTTAAATACACACAAATTCTCACTAACAATCTGATTACTATACCTACTTTCAATTTTCCGATAATTGTCAAACGTTAATAAAAATTGCATTTACCAAAGTACACCTTCGGGCCACCCTATCAAGACCAGAAGTAAGATCTGATTATAACTAACAAAACGAGCCCATACTCGGCACGCCTAGTTCTTCTCGTCGAGGAGTAGCATTCATCGAAGCACACATTCATGTCACTCTTTCAAGTCCAGAGGTAAGGTCTCATTATAACGAACCAAACTAAACTGACAAATTGAAGGGTCGGTAGCCTATTGGCAGGGCGCGGACCGCGAACTAGAAAGGTCGTGAGCTGTCGTGAATCACTTCTAACACAAGCATTTAAGCTTACCAGAAGTGGTTAAAGGGAATATTAGTAATGTTTAATAGCATTACTAATATTTCTTTAAAAAAAAAAACGTGCCCAAAATTTGCACACCTAGTTCTACTCGTCAGGGAGTTCCAGTAACAGTCACCGAAGTACACCTTAAGGAATACACCTTAACTATCATGTCCGGAGATTAGGCCTAACAAAACGAACCCAAACTCGGCACATCTATTATTAGGCACTCGTCGAGGAGTTCCAATAGCAGTCACCGAAGTACATCTTCAGGTCACTCCATCAAGTCCGGAGGAAAATTGTCATCATAACTAACAAAGCGAATCCAAACTTCTGGTTCTACTCGTCGGGGAATTACTGTGTCAGTCACCGAAGTACATATTTAGGTCTTAGCATAGTTATCAGTTCTCACGAAAACTTGAAAGACAATTGACTGAAGTTGTCGCTTTTAGGTATTGTTGTGCGCGCGCATGGGAACAACTTCATGGTGTCGTTTTAAGATGTCGGTGTGCACGCGCATCGTAAAAATTCACTCCCATAATTCTTCCCAAACGGTTCAAAAGAAGTATAACTTCATAAACATCTTATTACCGAAAAGTTCGATATAGTTTGATTTTAAAAGTACAATACTAAACTGCTATTATAAGTTAGGACTAAATTTAAATCAATAGAATAATCCAAAACTTAAACAATTCCATATGAGACGTGGCAGTTTACGGGTTCTCTTAGAATTTACAAATAACGGAGTTCAATAACTATCAGCATCAAAGAAAATTTTAATTGCAATATTAGGGTTAATTGGTCACGTGCTTGTCGGTGAAAACATAGTGATATAGAGAAAGTATTCAAAGTACGGCAACCCACTGCTCAACTCAAGTCTACCCCTTACATAGTTTCATTGGTGGTTGGTCGGGTAATTCCCATGCTTGGCAGACTGATTGACAACCAGTTTTCTTTTTTATTGCTGCTTCTCATCACCAGTTTCATTACACTCTGTCGCCTCATACGCCCACAAGATAATATGGCGTAAAAGATTTTCTTACGCATCCACTACAATTTCACTCTTCTAATACCTTCATAGAAATGAGAGGAATCCCGTTACAGTGAGACTTAAGTATATTTGACGTTTTAATTTATAAGTCTTTATGACCTCATATTAATATGTTTATTTTTATTTAATAACTAGATACTAAAAATATTTATAAAATTAGTGTCCTCCAGTCGGAATTTCGGTCACGTCAAACCTCAACGGACGGAGAACGGGATTATAGTGCCCGAGTGTAAGCGCAAGCACAGGTGCAATCTCTATTCCCTCACTCTCATAGTCCGATGGGACGGTAAACCGGCACGACCGCAGAGAGATCAGGCGCAGGAGCAAAGGCTTTACTTGCTTTCCGAGGCACTGGCATGAGACACCGCCAATTTCCTGACTCAGGGCAGCTACTGAGAATTTCCTGATCGAAACATTTAACTGATTTTATTTTGGTCCGACCCGGGATTCGAGCCCGGGACTTCATGATCAACAGTCGTCTTTATAACTACTAAACCAACGAGGCAGTTTATAAAATAATATATTCCCTTTCGTATTGACTTCATTTTAGCAGTTATTTTATAATTAAAACCAGTTGTTCCCCGCGACTTTGCCCGCGAGTAATTTAGAGTTTTAATTATGGTGCGCGGAACCCTAATGTTTTTTCTAAAATATAAGTAACCTAAGTTACTCCTTATAAGATCAGCTATCTGCCAGTGAAAGTCCCGTTGAAATCGGTCCAGCCCTTTCGGAGATTAGCCGGAACAAACAGATATACAGACAGACAGACAAAAATTATAAAAATTGTATTTTTGTGATAAGTACCGTATATACGTTCATATGCATTTAGTAAAAAGCTGTTATTTTGATATTACAAACAGACACTTCAATTTTATTTATTTGTTAAGATTAATATTTTTCCAACACTTACCAGCTCGTAGCTACCATCGCCTTGTCCAATTTGAAGCTTCAGGTCGCTAATATTCGAACTTCTATCACTCTCTTTATACATATCTCCGGAGGTAACTGTTACATCGGGTTTCTCGTTCATTTGTTGACTCTTTTTCCTTCTTCTTCTATTACATATGACTAGGAGGATAACAAAAGCGGAGAAGATAATGATACCCGATGTAACTCCGATGAGAATTATAAATAGTGGTAGTGTTTCTAAAAGAAAAAAAAAACAAATTAAATTATAACACTTAATATTGTGTAAAAAAAATGTAAATTTGACACGAATATAGAAATAAAACAGGAGATGGGCAGAAATATCTAGATAACAATCCAAAATAATAAAAGACTACGGTTGCCTCGAATGACGCACGCACCCATTATACAATTTCTGTAAAGCATCAGGCCTCGGCCGGCACGGTCGGTACGGTAGGTACGGTTTCTTTACTCATGTGCTGTCGGTTCACATGCGTACGTATTATGTTCAGAAATAAGAATATGTGATTTAAAAAAAAAACCCATTGATTGGACTAAAAAATTAAAACAGTATTATGTCAAAATGTTGTTTGTAGAATAATCTGATAAAAAATCAGAATGATTACATGTATATTTGTATGGTTGTAATCGATAAAAGAAATTTTTAAAGGTACTTTTGTGATTTTTTTCTATCGTATCATATCATTAGTGTCATGTTTTTAACATACGGTAGTATATATCTTGAGAAATAACATATATTTTTCTGATTTTGTTTATTGCAGTGGATCATATACTTTAAGGCATTATAAAACTTGCGGTTAGCTCCTGTAGTCCCCTTAGTCGCCATGCTTGGCAATCCAATTGCCTTCCGGATCTCACACCTTTGGATCCTGCACCCTATCGCTGGTATAGGTTTAAAATGTTGTATATACAAAGGAGACAAGAAAAGAGATAGATGAGGCCGTGAGGTTTCTCTGGTTTTCCTATTGTTTTCTCTTGTTACATCCAGGAGACGAATTGGCCACAATAACATGGCGTAATCTTATGTAAGTATGAGGAGAAATGTGTCTTATATTGTACGACTTACTCAAAGGCTTCAGAATTATAGCTGCGTTCGCGTTTCCATACTCATTGGTCACACTACAATTATACAGTCCGTAGTGTTTGGATTGGCTTGCGCGAATAACCAAACTAGATTTTACGACGCCGTCTGGTAAAGACTCTTCTACCGTCGCGTAATCCTTTAAACAATTATCATGATTGCAATTTTTAATTGAAAAATCAATTGAAAATGTTTAGGTATTTAGAAAATTTATTAACACTTAAATTAAAATGCGATTATAGATACAAAAAAAAATTAAAACACAGAAATCACTAAAGAGACAAATTGTTATTTATTCTTTCTTAGGATAATTAACAGCTTCTTTAAAATACTGACCAGAAATTATGATATAATGTAATATGTTGTTTAAAGAATATTTTACTTACCGGATCCTGTATAATGCTAATTTCTCTACCTTCAAAATACCATCTGATGTCATCAGGTTTAGGCACTGAAAATGCGGCGCATTCTACTCTAACTAATTCACCTTCCGAACCAAATTGAGTTCTATTTGAGAGTATTTTAGGTATACCTAAAATAAAAAAATTACAAAATTTAAAGCAACAAAATCGTTAATAAATAGGTATTAAAAATATTTACAGGGTTATTTTTCAAAGAGTAGCCAAATTTTAAACTTAAGCTCAAATATATAAATAATGATACACCGTTATTGCAGTTTTTAAAAATACGAGTAAATGAGGTTTCTACTTTTATTTGAAATTATCCCAATTTGAATGTGATTTATTGGCAACAACGTTTTTGCCTACCGATTTTGCCGACCCATAGGGATGTGTGCGTAAAATCAGTTAAAATAATGCATTACCACGCTTATTGAATTTAAAAGATATAAAGGACAAAATATTTGACATTTTCTTTAATTTAATTTTTCTACACCATTTGCCTATATTACTTATTCTGAACCTTCTCTGCAAAGTTGGCCGGTTATTGCAAAATAACCCTGTATAAAGATAACACCTTACAACCGTCTCATCTTATGATATTATTATGATGCAAATACGAAATAATTACTTACTTTTTATAAAAATTGTAGCTTCGCTCTCAATCTCAGGATATCCGTCTATAGTGGCTTTACATATGTAGCGTCCGGCTGTATCGTTATTTACGTGCACCTTCAAATTTGGAGCCTTTCCTTTAACCTGCTGGAAGTATTGTACGATCATAATATAAAATAATCTCCGTTCTAATGAAAACATTTTTAAATATACAAGAAACTATGCTATACATAGAGTAAAATTTTAGGTTTATAATCATGTAAATTCTTTAGCTATTGTTATTAGTATTAAAATATTATTTATGTGGTAATTAAAGAAGTAGTATATACCAATTAATAGACAATGTATTGTTTCATTACCTACATCATGGTATTCACTTACCCCGATCCTTCCAGGCTCATGAAATAGCCACCGAATCTCAGGTTCTGGTTGCCCGTCCACATCACAGCTTAACGTCACGCGTGCGCCATCCTCTGCTTCTATATTCTGTGGTCGGGTTCTAAATGACGGAGGATCTATGCGAAAATTAAAAATAAATAATTTACTATTTATTAAAGATATGTTTATTTAATTAAAATGTATTAATCGTTATCAGTTTTATTTAACATAGTAATAATTTGCACAATATTTATATCAATATTTTAATTAATTTTAGGTTAATATCGAGCATGAAGGTCAAAGTCCGTAAAGTTTAGGTTATAATGAAAGTTTGCTTTGTTGACCAATACAATGACCTAATTTACAAAATATAACTTGTCACAACTGCGCCAAAGCCGCCTTAATATGAGTAAATTCATTAATGACTTCCTTATAGTTAATACTCTTGTTACTTACATGTAACGTCTAAGGTTACAGTCCCGTCGTTCTTCCCCACAGCATTACTGACTTCGCATTTTACTACTGCCTTATTATGTTTACGAGTCACGTTAAAGATTATCTGAAAATAAAGTATGCTACTTAAAAGTAGTAGAGAATTTAGAACATTAAATATTACATAAAAAATCTGGGAATGGAGATGTAAGTTTCTACAGTACTTGATATACTATACGTGGCGTGTTGCAGCTACTTTAGCACAAATGGGTCAGCTTGTCCGGGGAAAGGACCACGCTCTCACAGAAAGAATATCAGCGTAAAATGGCAGCTTAATGCTACTGTGATTTGTATCGGAGATCTTTATTAATGGAAACGAGGCATTCCATCTTGGTTCTCGGGGCTGACAACGCATCTGCATTTTGATTTTCAATCGATGATAGGGTAGATGAATGTAGATGGCTACGTGCCACAGCATTCACTTACCATCTAGTGGACTAGATGTGCGTTTATCATTATTATTCTTTAAAATAAAATAATATACAACTGAAAAACATAGACTGAAAAGTTCAAAGTCACAGTGATCTCTGAAAATCTAATGCTTCAATCAGGAATAGTAACTAATACGGAGTCCAAACCCAATTTCGGTTTGTACTATAACCAACCACATATCAGCAACTGTAACACAATTCATATGAGCCAATACAACTACGTCACTAACAAACTACCTCTCAATATACAAAGTTGAAGTTACAAGCTCAAAATTAATAATACACTATTAACCTAAGTCAACTGAAACTTGAGCACAGTCGCCGCTTTCGTATATTTATTGAGTAACCTATGTTTAAATAGCTCGCTTAGCATCCTTACAAACGATTACGATGTTATTACTTTAGTTTTAAAGAGCTTACGAGTCTACAGTGTTGGCTTTAGTATTGTAAAGTTGGTTAATAAAAAATAATATGAACGTTTATTGTGTTATTTTAAGGCTTACATTTTTTTACTATTTTTTTTTTGTCTTACGATAGGAACTATTATCCAACTCTATTGTTAGCTGATCACCTTGTCACGAACATCTCACTTCTTATTTTCAATACTGCCAATATAACACACATCCACTTTCATACCACAACCATCGTAGTATCGACCTTCACCTTCGCTTTAATCGGATGTTTTGTGAAAGACGGATAGATATGATGAGTGAAAGGAAGAAATTTTTTATTTAGTTTAAATAAAGATAAGAAACGAGCACATAGTTCACTTGATAGTTAGTGGATGCAATGACCAATAAACACCCGTTTGTCTAAGATCATGAATCATATTTTTTTTTATATAGAATAACGGTGACAAACGAGCACACAGTCCACCTGATGGTAAGTGGTTGCTGTGGCCCATAGACATCTACATCTATCTTCGTTTGCGAATTAAAATGCAGATGCGTTGTCAGCTATGAGGACTAAGATGGAATGCCTCTTTTCCAGTAAAAAGGGTCTCTGGTTCTCTACACTCACTATACGAAACACAGCAGTGTTAAGCTGCTATTTTACGCTGGTATTCTGTGAGAGCGTGGTCCTTCCCCGGTCGAGCCGACCTATTCGTGCTACAACCATACTATTAATATAGCTGCAGCAAGGCTCTACCACGTTAAAAAATATGCATAATAAACATGCATAATGCAGATGCATGGTCACTATAAAAGGCTAAAAGATCACTGGTTTTCTACACTAACTGTTTGGTACAGCTATAGCATTTTGCAGCTACATTAATACAATCTGCGCGTCTTTAAGGCAAGAGTGGCTAGGATAGGCTTTTATTACGCTAAGACAGTGCGATTTACCATCTAAAACTGCATCACTACTTACCATCAGATGAGATTGTGGTCAAGCACTGGCTTATAATAAGTTAAAAAAATACGGATTTATCGTGGGATCTACCACGTAAACGCATGATTTGCCCAAATTTTTAAAGACTTTTTTCAGTACTTTGAAAGAAATGTTCACAAGTATAAGTCTATACGACAAACATAGTATAGGCTTACCATCGCTGCATGAAGTGACAGCCCTGATGAAGTATATAAAAAATCGATAAATGCAGACAGGTTAGGACAATCTGTGTGTGCTTAGCTGAAGAAAAATCTAGCTGTTCCCCGCGACTTCGCCCGCGTGTAATTTTGGGTTTTAATTATGTTGCGCGGAACCCTAATTATTTTTCCCAAATATAAGTAGCCTAAGTTACTCCTTACAACATCAGTTATCTGACAGTGAAAGCCTCGTCGAAATCGATCCAGCCGTTTCGGAGATTAGCCGGAACAAACAGACAGACAGACAGACAAATATTTTAAAAATTGTGTTTTTGTTATAAATATCGTATATACTTTCATATGCATTTAGTAAAAAGCTGTTATTTTAACATTACAAACAGACACTTCAATTTTATTTATTTGTATAGATTTGCGACCCGCCCGAAATATGGTGTCAACTAGCTGGTACCCGGCGCGTTGCTGTCGCAAAATAAATAATTGTGGAAATTTCGTTTCAAATTTGGAATAGTTATATTGTTTAATTTGGAATAAAAAAAAACATTCATTGAAAAATTATATATAACTTTCAAATAAATTTGTCGGTACGATACGTGCGCCGAAGTTTTTGTTAAAGTCATTTAGTTATATGTACTACGTACTAGAGAAGCTATTTCAAACGAAAATTGTGCGCTACTCTGTCTTCGTGCATGCGCGGGAGATAGTAGAGTTGCGTATGCGCGAAGATTTTAATATAAAATAGGATATTAATATAAAATAAATATAAGAATTTAATATAAAATATTCTTATTTTAATCTAAACAAATATATTTCTAAATAAAATTCAATGATAATTATCTTATGGAATTCACAAATCTTCAATTTACGCAATATTTAGTTTAGTGTACGGATTGCAGTACAATTCAGTTTAATATAGTCAATGTTCGGAATGTGAAATCTAGTGCGTCGTCCATATATATCGATGGTTAAAGTAATTGCAGTTTGACTGCAATCTGATGAACGGCCGGTCAGCGCATAAAATACAAAAAAAAAACAAACATAAATTTTTATATCTTAAGGTAATCATCAAAGACTATACTTTATCACTATTTTGTTGTCTCATAAATTATTCTGTTTTTTCGGAAAACATATAGCCTAAATCACTCCTACGAGTAGCATTGCTCTTTAACTGTTTGTGAAGTTGAATCACAATCGGTTCGTCCATTCCGGAGATTAGCCCAGACAGGCAGACAGACAAACATTATAAAAACAGACATTTCATATTTGTTTATAGGTAGTATAAAGATAAGTAGATGTTAATTTAGAATGTCATTTTCTTTTTCACGATTACTTTTTATTTATATAGATACTTTGTACACTATACTAATATTATCTTAATATCTATTAAAATATATTATTTTTTATTTTATTTTTATTCGTATGGTTTACTAACAGTCAACTTACACAATAACAATCTTAAATAACAGAGAAATTTCTTAAGCTAAGTGTAGTGACTGCTTACTAGTAAACACAGCATGCAATATAACAATAACTTATGTGGGTTTTGATTTTACTAAATAAAGTTAACAATTTAAAAAAAACATTGTTTATAAGTACGGTAAAAGAGAACACAAGTTGGTTGCACGAAATTAAGTACTAGTCATACTGTCGACAATCTTTTTACGGAAACTATAAGCGGAATCAAAGTTTATGTCAATTCTGTGTTTGTAGCTATTTATGATATATATTATGTAATGATTTCTTGTATTAATTAACTTATTTTTATTAAATTCCCGACGTTTCGGTTGCTTACACCATGCTCACGGGGGACTGAGGTGATTGACGTCCCGATGTCAGAATTAACCTGGAGTATAATAGTTGAAATATATACAATATTTCAATGTTTTATTTTCTAAGACTCATTTGTGTTAACTTTGTATACCTTTGTCATATATTGAGTACAGTTAGTTCTACATATTATGCACAATATATAAAGACATAACCAGGTAGATAAAGCAAAGTTAGAACAGCATCATTCAATTTCTTTTAGACTACTTTTTCGGAACAACGTACACGTTTTGCAAATAGAAATACACAGATATCTCTGTACAGCTAGGGAAAATGGTGGAAATAATTTAGTACATTAAAGAGCATAAAAAACGCTATCTAGTAGAGTAGTTACTAAATGCAATAATGTTGTTCTAATACTTTATAAGAATGCCTGAATGCTTTGTTTTTTTTTTTCATTCATATATAAAGGGCTTTGTCGCTGATGCGATTATGCCGCCCTGGTAGTTACATAAAAATCTTAAATATAATTACTAACAAATAAACTTATTATACTTACGAGTTACTTAATCTCTTATTAACTAACAAATACAGTTTTTTGGCATCATCTGATAACGGGTCGGATAAAATACTGTTACTACTACCAATTAAGGACAAATGTAAATTACAATTTGCTCTTTCTCTTGAGTTCTGGGCACATTCTATCAAAATGTGATAAACATCATCGATAATATTACAAATTGAACAATTTGGTGAGGTAATTTTTCGCATCAAGTATAAAAATTTATTGCATGGAATGTGTCCAGATCTGAGTCTTAATGCTGTTACAGTGTTGCGTCTACACAATACTTTGTTATCTATCCAGGTTGATTGCATTGGGTGTGGCTGGATCGTACGGTACCATATACCCTTTTCTTTTGATCTTTCGTCAAAATATTCTTTCCAGAGATCATAACAATATTTTTTCAATAAAGGTATGTAATTTTGAAATGAAGGGGTAATATCTATGTCAATGCCATCAGAAATAGCTTGCTTGGCTAAGATATCAGCTTTCTCACTACCCTCTAAGCCAATATGCGAAGGTATCCACTGTAAATATACTATTCTGGAATCAGCCTGTAACTTAACTAGAAGCTGTAAAATCGCATATGCTACTGGTAAGCCTCGGAAAACCGAAGTACACCGAGCAAGGTGTTGAAGCGCACTCCTTGAATCGGTTAAAATAACGACATTGTTATAATTATTTGACTGTGTGTAGGATAAAGCTTCATAGATTGCCACAAGCTCAGCTTCCATTATTGAAATACTCCCATTGATTTTTA